AAGCGAGAAAGTAAAACTGATATCTCTTCCAACACGTACCACAGAGTGAGCTTGTAAATGGCTAATCATACCATTTGCTATCCCACGATTACAATTTCTCTACATCTGGCGAGTTAGGAGACAGGACACTGTTATCCAACCGGGAGCTTCAATTGTTGAAATTGTCCACCAAGTGTAGAGACATGTTAATGCGAGAATAAAAGCTTTAGCTGCTCAATGCCCATGTTACGTATCAACGATCTTATTCAGTCTCGACCGCACAATGCACGTCCACGCGCGCCCGCGCACCGCCCACGCTCTTAGCTCCGCTCCCTCCTCACAGAACACACACTGTTTTTGTTCGACGAATACGAATTAATATTTACCGGCTTGGTTGGCTCAGCGCATCAATTGACGTCACTGCAGTAATACTTCAAAATGAGTGCCTTCGCAGCATACTCTGCGCGCCACGTTATGATAGAATTTCAGAACTACATTTAGTCGTAAAATTACCGATCCGCGAACAACAAAAAAAACTAAGCCTCAAACTTTTATTCAAAACGAAACGCGTTAAAAATGACATTAATAGAAATTTAACTTAGCCGGATCCCAAGGCCACGTACAAACACCTGAGAGATAGGCTGCAGTACTATACGCGCAAGTTTTCTTGATATTCCACAGTGAGGGGAGCGGGGAGAGGAGGGCTCTGGCTACGTCACGGCTTGAGAGGGCGTACCAACTGTGGGCATGAACTTAACTCACCAAAGCGTGCCACGAGAAATGCTACGATTGTTTTGAAACTACGAGGTGAATGTTGCCAGCATTGTAAATTGGTACGTGCCGTTCCGATTCGAACCTAAGTATCTCAACGTGCCGTGCTATTCCGCGCTTGATAAGGAGTAGGGAGTCCGTGTATCAAGAAAACTTGCGCGAGTAATAGCCGTAACGCCAATTCTTGCATGAAAATTGCGGTAAACAAATGTCTTTGCTGACCTTGTTTATTTTCTCTGCTACAGATCCCACAGATGTTCGAAATGATAGGGATGACTACACAGAAGGGAAGTGTGGCAGCATAGAACCTCGCGGCCACAAGGAACTGTGCTACACAGCGAGAGACGGCCTCTGACCGGGAGGTCCTACAGTTCCAATCCTGACGGCGTCAGGATTTTCGGCACTAGCTACATAGCTAGGACGAATTCAGTGGCTGTCTGGAGGAGATTTCTAGCGGCCGGCTGCTCTCGTCGGTAGTTTTCCGTGGTTTCTCCAATCAACACCAGGAGAGTGAAGATGCAGAACCCTAAAAAACGGGCCATGGACCGCGATATCTCCTTCCTCTCCTTTTTCCTATCCTCTCCCGTTACTTACATACACACACTACTACCACACATGCCAGGAGCTTAGAGCTTGTTCCGGCTGGGGATGGTGTCCCGCTGGTGAGAGATACCTGGCAAGGGAAAACCTCGCTAAACGACGGTAAGTGGGCCTCGGATCTCGCCATCAAACGAGCAAAGATCATTGCCATGATAAAACAAGCACTAGACTTATGGGACTAATGACCATAGCAGTTGTCGCGCCCGGGATCACTAACCAATCAACGAATTAAAAGTTACTTTGATATAAATGCATTTTGTTCCTCAGCAATCTTTTTTTTTAGGTCGCTTTTTAACTACAAGGCCATGGAGCGACCTCTGTGATAGTTTTGCTAGGGGGAACACAAACTCAGCACATAAGGACAACACGAACACACACATACCCCAGGCATAGATCGAAACCGCAATCCTTCCGTCCGAGATCGCCAAGACACTACTGTCTCAGCGATCTCGGCTATCAAAGTCGGCCCAATAAACATCACTGACAATGTTGTTTCCTCTCTCATACACATTCTTACTATTAGTTCAATACAATCTACAGGATACAATGATCTAAAATAGTCAACCATACATTAAAAATCATGAGACCATGTACTGTACAACAATTTTATCAGCATCCCTTTATCTCATTCACACATTCAGAGCTCTGCCGCCGAAGGCCAATCATTGCACTGCCACGAACGAAAAAACATCTTTTAGTTGACACCCAGCACTCACCGTGTTGGACACTCAAGATTCACGTGGAAGTTTCAGTAGCTGGTACAACTCCATGTAAAACCCATATACCCAAATTTTGATATGCTATGGAACATTAGAAATAAGAGTAATGAGACATTTTGCACCACAACCTTAGGTGACTTCCGACGGCGAATCGACCGCATTGGCAGCGCTACGTCAACCTGGAGTCCCTAGACTGTATCTAAAGCCTATATCAACCAGCGACATCTCGTAGTGCGTTTACGCCACAAGGGTATTGTCGGCTCATTTCTGATCAGAAGTGCTCGGTGACACAGGTTCTTAATGATCCTATTGAGTTCTGTTTTAAGGATCCCTTAAATCAATTTTGTTTCGAAGAAAACAGAAAACGTAGGGTGCACTTGGCATGTTCATGCAATGATTTATTTTTTTAGACAATTTTATGTCAAGTACCAGTTTTGTAAAAAAGGTTTCTGCTGTAAAAGTAAAATTAATTAATTAATTTCGTTTTATTACTTTATTTACACATTTATTTTCTAATTACCATAGAAATCATAACGTTACACTGAAATCCTATTCTTAAATTGAAAAAAGGATCTTTTTCAGGGAACTTTTGTCTTAACACAATGCAAAGAGTATTGAGACATTTTGCACCAGAAACTGAGGTGACTTCCGGCAGCGCTACGTCATCAACCTAGAGTCCTTAGTCTGTATCTAAGGTCTATATCAACCAGCGACATGTAGTGCGTTTACACCAGAAGGATATTGCTGGCACCTTTCTGATCAGAAGTGCACGGTGACACAGGTTCTTAATGGTCCTATCGAGATCTGTTTTAAGGGTCTCTTAAATCAATTTTGTTACGAACAAAACTGAAAACATAGGGAGCACTTGGCATGTTCACGCAATGATTTTTTTTAGACTATTTTATGTTAAGTACCAGTTTTGTAAAAAAGGTTTCCGCTGTAAAAGTAAAATTAATTAATTTCGTTTTATTACTTACTTTCTTTCTTTAAACATTTATTTTCTAATTAACATAGAAACCATAACGTTACACTGAAAACCTATTCTTAAATAACAAAAAGGATCTTTTTCAGGGAACTTTTGTCTTCACAACACAATGCAGTTATTATTTCGGCACGTGCCCGTCCTTCGTCTTTCTAATCGTGTTCCAAAACAATCGTTCCTGTCACCCTGCACGCTCCCAGAGACAATTGAGACCCTGAAGACAGATTGGCTGATAGCTGCGCGCCGCGATGTCGCCGCAGGACAGCCAGCGGCCTGTGGAGATTTCCACGCAGCGGCAGACAGTGAGGTCACGAAAGTCCGAATACTAATTGTCACAAAAAACACTACTTAGAGTGCTTCGTAGCACTTGAAAATTTGCTTGCAGGTACATCGCACGGAGCTGAACCAGCTGGTAAAATTTTATATACGTGTATCCAGCATGGTGAGTGTTGTCAGGGGCGGATTAATATTTTTGCCGCCTGTAGGCACATCAAATTTGCCGCCCCCTGTTTAAAATTAATGTTACATTTCAAATTGTAACGTTTCAGTAACAATTCCTCATTAATTTAAACGTTTTAACTTTAAAAGTAACATTATATTTTGCACATTGTTTTCATAAATTAAATATTTTTTTTGGATTAGCTAATTTTGGATATAAACTGTATCTTCATAGCAAGTAACGTTCAACATTATTAACGTTTCAACACTGAAACGTTAACATTAAAAGGAAACTAAAACATGACAACTAGAATTGCAACATGTTTTCTTTCGTCAACGGGCCTTAGTTTCAGATTCATATACTTCTGAAATCATAAGGTATACTCTAATGAAGTAGACAAATAAATAGCATGTATTAAATATTAATATGATATTTTTAAAATAAAAATCTGATTTATGCTGTTATAGGTTTAGAGAACCTAAATTTGTTTTAGAAAATATCAAGAAAATTTTGCGCCTTTGAAAATTTGCCGCCCTAGGCACGTGCCTACTGTCCCTATGCGTAAATCCACCTCTGAGTGTTGGGTGTGAGAAGACTGCAGACTGCACGGCACACACAGCGCAGGGAAGAAAGTAAAAAGGCACGAACACGCGCACGCGCGCAGCCAGACAGACACTCACACACAATCCGTCGAACAGAGCTCTTGTCACGCAGTCCCCACCGAGCAGATTCTCAAGCCCACGTGCGATTTCACGAGCAGATAACATATTCGGAACGCAAGAGCAGCCTGGAGAAGTCCCACGTTTTTCCGGGCGGCAGGCCAGCCTCTCTCCCCCCCCCCTCCGTCCCCCTTCTGGGTGGGTCACGCCCCCTCCCCGCGCGCGGCGCCCCCTCACGGCCGGTGACCTCCAGCCCGGGGTTCGTGGCCTGGCCCGGCGCCCCGCTCACGCACCGAAGCTGACACTGTCATCGCGTTCGCGAACCGCAAAACGCCCTCCGCCCCCTGCCTCTCGCACTCGCTTTCCAAGTGACAGGCGAGGGCACTGCGATATAAATACATCGCTCCGCGAACATGCGCCCGCGCGCCGCATGGACCGGACTGGAACCAATGGACCTCGCGTTAGCGCCCAACACAATTTCTTTTAGGTTTTCTTATTTTGACAACTACCTCCCTATCAAGAATTTGCGAATATATCCCAAATGAATGTTAGACACATATTTCGATGAAGAAATACCGACATTTAACTTCTAATACACAATTATTGATAAATTTACGACTACGCTTTAATTGAGTTAAAACACAGAATACTGTCAAAAATTAGGTTAAGTTAAGTTTACTTGTGAATTTTTTGTATACGCTCTATTTCGTCCCAACCTAATAATTCTGAGCTCCAGTCGCATTGTACGCGCAAATGCGTTATCGACATCAGTTGATCAGATGCCTGCACTTGTCAACTTCAGCAATATAAAACAATCCAATAAATCTGAAAGACATTTCGTGCACACTCACCATCCTTTGCTTTTGAAGACGAGTTACTCGAATTCTTGTCCACTTGACAGTTCATGATTCATGCGAAATGTGTTACAGATACAGAATGATTTAACCTCACCGAATTAAAATAACCATATCGCACAGTTTAATGAATACCTTATCACCACACGAAACGCACAGAACTACCGTCAGCCTCCATTCTCTTTCACTTCATAACCTCCTCGAACCTTCAACCTCGTTCCACCTCGGTCGTATGGTTAGTGTTCCTCCGCTTTTACCAGATAGCAGCACTGTCAAATGTGTTTTCGCAGGTTATCCAACGTCAAAGTGTAATGAAATATACCACAAACCATGAAATATCCGTAGGGATGATGTTTGAAATTAAATAAATACGTTTATTATATTAATACAGTTTTATGATGTTGATTTTTAGTATGAATTTCGAAAAAAGTTAGTTATTAGTACGTGTTATTCAAATGTATCTCTTGGAGCAGCAGTTGCAACGCACATTACTCACTACAATTTCGTAAAGGTTGGTAAGATCTGGAATGAGTATGATCGAAATGAAATGGATAGGAAGTCAATGTAAGAAGGCGCTGCCTTCCAAATATGACAATTTTTCTTCAACGAAGAGAAGGTGAGGTAGAATATTGTTATTTGTGCGAAACACGTGATCTAAAATGTCTTCAAAATCTATCTATCTTGTCGATCTTCAATTTGTGCGCTACTTTTTGCTCTCTCAAAATTTTATTTTATAATTATTTAATTTATATTTATTTTATAATCTCTCTGTAATTTTTATTGTCTTAAATAAAGCACTGTCGATTTAAAAGACCTTTATGCGATTGTTTTCTTCAGTACTTAAATTATTATTAACACACCAAGTTATAGAACAGATTTTTTTAATATTATTTTTATTATGACTACTGTATATATTATATCTCTTAAATGTAAAATTATAATTTGAACCTGTACTTTTTCTCTAAATGGCACTAAAAGTTTAAATATTTTAATTCTTGCCTTGTTTACATTGGTTTTACATATAGACCTGCCTGTTCCAGTACCTTTCCATCTTTCTCTTAGTGTATTTACTAAAAAACATTTCTCTCCATACACATCTTCTGCACAATTTGATTTTGTTTTTCTTCAAATATTGACATTTCAAATTGTATTTTATTCACATATACACATTCTACCGTTCTTTAGTGTAATTTTTAATTCTTATGTTTGTATTTCACATAATAGTTTAATTCATGTATTCATATAATTTAGATGCTATTTTCCTTGCCGTAGAATAAAACTAACAATGCCACATGTTCAGAGCCCAAATAGTGGTGTCCCTGTACTTTTTTTAAAAATTTTGATTAATTAACACATTCAAGCTTTTTTTGTAAATTTCTAATGATGAGGGAATGATTTGTATAAATATCATATGCCCCTGACCTTTTTTAAAAATTTCTATCTCAAATCTTTTTTTTATGTTTGTTAAATTTCTAATAGGGAATCATTAGATCATAACATATCATATATATAATATATTATATATATATATATATATAATATTAGTTATATATATATATATATGAATATATACTATATATATATTATATAATAATATAATATATATAATATATATTTTCAAATACAAAAGCTTCATATATAAGATTTGAAACACGTTATTCTCCTAAGATCAGCCACCTCCAAATTTAATCCTCTGGATCAAGAAGGAACACAGTGTAGCTACTTGCTTGTGAATTATTCTCATTTATGTGCAAAGTAAATAGATTTGGTAGTGACTTTTCAAATGATTAATTTTACCTCAGATTCTAGGCATTCAAATTTTCAAACATTCAAATTTTAAATCAAGAATGATCTAATGTCCTTGTAAATCTAATGAAAATTAATGTTGATAATATCATTTTAATGAATTGTGATAATTGGTGTATTATCTTCACGGTTCAAGTGTTGCATGAGTAATGCAGTCTCTGTGTACGAATTATTTGTACATTTATTATTTTTTGTCATTGAAGTAAGATCCGGTTATTAGGAAAATCTTTTACAATTCATATCACTAAGGATAACAATAAAGAAACAATAGTACAATAATTTTTATTTTATTTTAAAAGAAAAACATAAAAGCACTTTTTCATGATATCTTGAAGTTTGAGTGAAATGTTGAACACATCAAGTATAATTGATTTTTTTATAAATTAAAATAAAAATTATAGATGACATTTACAGTATTTGAACATTTTAACTATAGCTTGAAAATATACATGATGGTTACATATAATAACACTTTCAGAATCATAAATAATTTACATTTATTTAAAGAGAACACAAATGTGGATTAAGCATTACTAGTTCATCATTACTTTGCAAATATGCATATCACAAATAAATACATCAAACATACAAGCTTCACTTCCCTACAAGGTGAGAGTAACTGATCAGGGACCTAATCTGAAGAAATTCTGGGAACTTAGTAAACTAATGTATTTCTACTGGTTAGAATAGAATTTGGGACTATTTAAGCATATGTCGGCTTTGACGTGTGATCCCGGTAATTACATGATTTCATAATAAATTACTTAATACAGTATATTTAATGTCACATGGAAAACTTACATCACTTACAGTACTGTTTTACAAGAATGGTAAATTTCTCCATCTTGCACTCAAAACAATGGTACTCATACGACAATAGGTACACAGAGGAAGGATGATGCCTCACTCATTCAAAAAGATATACTTGGAGCACCAAGTGATGATTGCTGGCAAAGTACAGTCATTGCGCCAACAAAAACACTTGGTCACAGAGGTACAATGAAATATACAACATGTATGCACATACTACTCGGCCGGAATATTGAATAGGGTAAGTCCAACACACAGAATTGGCACACTTTGAACACGCCAAAGGAAATTTCATTGCAGTCAAGCAGACCATCTACAATGACAACAGAAAATCAATCAGCCACTTGTGCCAACAACATAAATGTGGCTCAAATTCCCATTCGATTTTCAGCTTACGCTGGTCAACACGCTAAACAATAAGTGTAAAACCACAAGTACTGATTCTGTTGTTTGGTAACTGGTATCTTTGTCCATCTTGTAATGACTTTTGCATCAAATATGATTGCAAAGTGTCCTAAACAAAATCCATCTAAGCAGTGGTAGCACACTAAATGCTGTGAATCATTGCTTGTATCATATCTTATGATTGAATCATCTTTCACTTCTCTTGTTAATAATGCAGTCTCTTGCTTTTACAAAGTACAGATAGAGTAAATATAGAAGAAGAGTTGTAGAATAAAAATTGTAATCTGTCTGCTCAAGTGTAGTGTACATATACACTGTTATTTATAAATAATATGTTGATCTTAAAAATTCTTGAACATTTTTGACAATTATTGATATAAATGAAGTTGGAAGGCAACATTTTCACAAAGTTAAAGGAAACAATAGTTAGTATATTCAATTTTGTAGTAGGGAATAAATGGCATTTATTTTGATGGAAATGCAAACTTCAACAGTTTGTTCAAGAATCAATGCACAAGAAAATAATACGAACACTACACCCAGTATAAAGTTGAAAATTTTCATTATAATTTTTCTCAATTGACAGTAAGAGCCTGACTGAAATATAGAATACATTTATTAATGTGAACGAACATGCCATATTTGAAGGTCTCCAAACCTGATGAACTGCACGTCTTCGGAAAGCATGTATGATTTGTCTACCCGATTTTACACAGAAGAGACACGAGACTGTATATGAAGAGCACAGGGAAGTAATTAAGTACAGTACATGCATAAAAACAAGAAAGAGCGTCAATGACCTTGTATCAAGTTTTGTCTTTTTTTACTTCTCTTCCATATCAAGGGCAATATCTTGCAGGAGCTCGTGATAATCTTCCTCGGCCAAGAGAACATCATCTCCTGGTAGTGAAGTGTTGTCAGCCTGCCTTCTTCGGCGTCGGCGAGCCATTTGACTGGTAGCTTCAATGCAGAGCACGGCAAAGCGGTTATTACAGGAAAACCGTTCTTGGTCCAGAAGCTTGTTTTTGAGCAGACTAGAAGCAAGTCCCACTTTGTCAGTGCTGCTTGAATGCCAGGCATCACAGTACGTGTCCATTGCTCTCTCTCCCAGTAGATGCGAACCATGCCAGACAATCTTCTGGGTCCTACAACACAATTATAGAAATTGATCAGAATAGCTATATAAGTTAAAAGCCTGCAGCTCTTTTTCCCCTGCCACTTTTGTTGTCTCATACTACATTTTTTTAGGAAATAGGTTTTAGATTTAGGAATGTTGTATATTTGAGGTTCCAAAGGAAAATATAATAATATTTTAATAATATTTAATATAAATATTTAATAAATGTTCTACTTTTAATAAATTCATAAAAATGCTCTTACTTCTTGATATTTGAAAGGTCAAGTATTAGAGTAAATTGAGAGCTTTGAAATTGCTTTATTTTCAATGTGGTGGGAAAAGCACCACTTTTAAAACACTACTTAATAATAAACGAGTATTAATAAGCTACCTTTTACCAATGACCAATATATTAAGTTCAGAATTCCTTTTATATAGTACTTTCAGATAGGGTCTATCCAGACACTATTTAAAAGTTTTTATTGAAATGTGCTCTTGAATGTGTAGATTTTAAGACAAAACATTTTAGATTTGTAATTTATAAGATCTAAAAAAGACTGGAAGAGAGTTCACTTGCTCAGTGGAGCTGGAATTTCTAAATACTTTGTCCATGAAAACAATGTTAATGGTATATAATACAGAGTCAACCCTGAAAGAAGTACTACCTGACTCTCCTCCCCAAGCGATGAACAAAGGCCATTTCAAAGAGCATGGAAATATGTGAAAACTAGAGAACTCTTCAAAATAGCACCTTTCTAATATTTACAAATCAATGACACATTTTCTACAATGAATACAATTATTTGAAAAAATTGATACTATGTTCACCACTGAAAAATTGTTAAAGCAACTTTTAAGACCATTATACCTATGAAAAAAGTATTAGTAGAAAATGCAGTTTTTAATACTGTTGAAATACTGCAGATTTTCAAAGAGGTGTATAGGTATTGTGGTGAGTTTTCGTTGGCATTTCCTGCTATTTAATAAATAATTTTGTTGGCAATGACAACGCATATAATTATTTCATTCAAAAGAGTGGTATAATTCAAAATATAAAATTAATTAAAATCTATTTCTAAACTTAAAAAGTTATTTGAACTGCATATGTTTGGGGTGTAACTTTTTACTCCCTGAAAGAGTGGCCATCTTTCAGTCATTTTCAAGTAGAAATCTGAAGTTAAGAGAATTATTCACATATTAGTCAATTTGCTTTTCAGTGGTGTTCAACATAACACAATCTTTCTTGTATTACATTTAATGATCATGTAGTATTTAATTATTATATTGCAACAAAAATATTACTATTTCAAATCTTTCCCATAAATTCTGTTCACCAAACTGAACTTTGAATCTTAAAGTGTGTTTTAAAGTCCATTTCATACACAAAAATGAATGTTTTCTGTTGGTACCATATCACCAATAATTAAAAGTTTTCGAACCTCCATTGCCATCACAGAAAGAATTGAAACCTCAAACACATAAATGAAAATTTTATTTAGAAACAAGCAAAACAAAGAATATAAAAAAATCTGTAACTCATTATTTATAGAACATTTTATTATTAAGCAATGAATGTTTACACTTTTAATAATACAAATTTTAATTGCATTCTGCATGATCAATACAACTTTAATTTTTTGTACAACTAGTAAAATGTATAAAATCAATGCAACTTGCTGCATATCTTAAAGGATCATAACATCTTTGTGTAGGTGATTAACAGATACATTTCGAGGATTTTAGAAAATGTATGCAATTTTTAGAAATGTTCACCTTTGATTTAAATGTAAGAAAACTAATTAGTTTTATATAGAGTTAACTTGTTTCAATGGCAGATAATTCAAAGAAATGCTTTTCTTAATTGATTTTAATATTTAATCTATTAATAAAAATTTAAGTATAATTTCAAAATAGAAATGTTACTATTGGTTCTCCATTAAAGATTTGTGGAAAAAAAACAAAACACACTTGATGAGTAGTTTGAAGATGCTCATAATGTATAAAATTTTGTTTAATGTGCAAACATAAAAAAAGAAGAAATAATCAAATAGTTTTCAATTACATTTAAAATTGCTATAATAAATGTTTCCAATTCGTTTATAAGTAAAGTTAAACTAATTTGTCCCATAATTTCCATCATGCCTATTTCATAAGGAAAGAAGTTTCATCTTACAATTGATGGGCTCAGGAACAGATAGTCCCATTGAAATTGAGTTATATGACAAAATGGGCTTTAACCAGTGCTGAGTTTCTCAGGGACACAACTGGACTTTTTGAATGCAGAGAAAAAATATATATTAGTCATGCAAAGTTCTTTCTTATTTTACTTTTAGAGAGGCTATATATAAACTGAATAATTTGTGTATGCATGAAGGTTATTTTTTCTACCATTCTTATGGTAATGCACTGTAACCAATATACTTTGCCACCAGGTCACTGAGAGAGTAGGTCTACTTTTGCCTTTGTACCAGAAAATTACTGCAGAAAATACCTATGACTCTGCTATACTATGTAAATACCTATACCTATACTCTCTGCCTATGACAATGCTTGTCTGTAAACTAACAATGTCTAACTGTAAAATACCTATGGCAATGTCTGTCTGTAAACTAATTGCATTACTGATCAACCTGCCAAATTGAATGCTGGTACAGTATTCAGTTACAGAAACAAACTAGAAATCTGAGAGCGTTTTATTTGAAGAGGGTGAGGCAGATGGTTAAATAAAATTTGGACCAATTAACATTTATTTTAGCTTCCTGTGAGTTTTCATTAAAAAAAAATTACTCTTAATGATAACATTATCATCATCATCGTCATCGTCATCATCATCATCATTTTGCTTCACAATATATTATGTACATAAAAGTCACTAAACAATCAAGGAACACAAGAAGTTTGAAAAATATTGGACATTTGTAATTAAATACAAATCATAAGTGCAAATGGATTTTGCCTCTTACACAATTTTATATTTGCAAAATTTAATTGTTTTTGTGAACATTTTAAAAACTTAGAATATGATACTTGAAACAATTTTTCTTCTTCAAATTTACAGGACCTTAAGTTCAGTCCGTTAGATGAAAACAAAAAAGAAAAAAAAATTGGAAAACCCTATTGTGTTGAGGAATTTATGATAGTTACTTGTCGTCAAAAAAAGGTGGACTTTGAAATTGATTAATAAAATATTAACAAAGTAAATAAATATCTGTTAACCCCAAAAAGTATATTTCTGACAAAATTTCAAGGTGATTTTTAGCAACATTTTAATATTTTCTTTTTACAATGAACACAAGAATGCAAAAATGATAACTGATTAGGGGTTGTCCATAAATTATGTAATACTGAAGAGAATGAGAGGGAATTCAAGGCAGTGTTATGCTGCATTCCTATGTGTAGGGGGGTTAATATAGTGTTATAAAATGCTGTTATTTATTTTTTTAAATCTTTCAACATTTGCTAAAATAATTTCTTTTATTCCGTCTTATACTAAAGCATTAGCATATTAACAAATTAAATTAAAGATATAATAAATGAAAGAAGTTATATTCTATAAATTGTTACAATAAATGAAAATATTTTTCATCAATGATACATTGATTGAATATTTGAGGGGGAAGGAGGGGGGGGGAAGCTTCTCGTAAGTGGTACGTAATTATTAGAGAAGGGTCAAGTGCGTGTTACAGGGGGGAGAGGGAAAATTCAAAATTCTCCAAATTAATAAATTAACAATTAATGTTAAGCTTGTACTTACCAGGCTAAGTCGGCAAGAATGTTCTTTCCACTGAAGCTATATATTCTAGGTTGCTGCTGAGAATGTTGAGAGAAAAATCCTCCATCACCACTGAAGATATCTTTCCAAGAGTTGAAAAGCACATCCCCCTTATTTCAAACAGAAAAATGAGTCATTATTGTTGTTAATTTTAAATTATGAATAATAAATAATGCATAATTAGACCAAAATAGTACCTTAGTATTAACAACAGGAAGATCACGGTCAGTAAATCGAACAATTGAGTCAAGATTCTGAACTCGAGATGAGAGGAAAGCACGGAAAGTGCCTCGTAGTCCAGCTCTTCTTGCTTGTCTATAGCAATTGTAATCAGCACCTCGGACACCATGCATGTCTCCGGTCCATGGTTCATTAAGTGCTGCCATGCGTAGCTGGAAAGAAATGCAATTGTGCAAATAAGCATTATTGTTTTCACAATAAACATTAATTCAACATTGAATTTGAATTTTATCATTTGCTTATAATTTTTACTAGTTGGAGAAGAAATCTTGGTATGACACAACATTTTTGATATTCACATTGACAAATAACCAAGCATTGTTATGAAACATAAACAAGGTGATCTGTTTCACCAGCATAAAGTCATCACTGAGATTTGTTGTATGATGCATGATCCAACAATCACTTGAGCATCTTTCGGATAAACAATACAGCTATAAGCTACATCTTTTGAGAGATACCTGTTAATTTAGGAAACCTAACAATGTCAGCATATCCTAACGTGATATGCTACTCTGTGATCCTTGCTTCATGAAATAAGAAATACAATTCCCACAATAAGCCCAATGAGAAAACTCCTTAGTTTTAAATCCTATGAATGAGGATAAGAAAAATGAAGGTTCTACATCTGTAGCAGTTTGTTTGCATAGTCCCCTTCGGGGACATGACAGCAGTGTGTTAGGAAGCTTAACTTAGTATTGCTGCAGGACATGTTTCACCCTTGAAAATGTATAAAATATGTTTTTAAATGTAACTGTGCCTCTATAAGAATATTAGTCCAGTGGCTGACCCAGCCCCCACCCCCTCCCAGTACAGATCTTATAAACTACAAAAATAGTATTTCCAAAGAAAGAAGAAATTATCTAAAATAAATATTCATAAGTATCTTACCATTCTAGGAAACCACTGTTATATGCATGAAATGGAAAGATATATTGAATTAATAAGATGCTAAATAAACAAGTAAATCTATCGAAGTCTAAAAATTAATTCATGAAGTGAAATTCTTGCCTTCTTGAATATTTAAGCTATTTAGGTATGTGACCTGCCTCGCTTTTTGTGAATCGGTTTTTGACTTAAAAGTATGGACATCATGAAAAATTTCAAATGAAATTATCTTAACTGTGGTAATAATCTAATATTATAGTCAAAATCCTTTTGAAAGCTAGCTACCTATGTTATGGAAGTTTCCATGCCTCTATACTTATTTTATGCAAATCTGACTGTCTGGATCACTTGATGACACCACTTAATCAATAAATTGTTAGAAAATATAGATTTTGGATATAAACTACAAAAATATTTAGTATGCTGCTTCCTATTTTCCTCTTAAAAATGTAGGTGTTTGTTTCAGTTTTTGAGAATCCAGAGTCAATTACACCCACTGTTATTTTTGCACGTAGTTTTGGAATATTTGAGAAACTAAGTATAAATGTTCAAATATTTCTGTTTTAATAATTATTTACACTCTGTGAATGAAATAATTTGAATTTGTTGATTCACACTCTTACCACAATTTGGTCTCTTTAACTCTAAAAACTTATAATTTCAGTTTATAGCAAATGTATAATAAATAAATATTCATGAAAGGTCTAGGTAGACCTACGTTGCTCATGTAAGTAATTCATTTCCATTTCTGATAAAATCATTGCAAATCTTATTAAATATTAAAGAAGCGTTATTATATAAAAATTGTTAATATTGAAAACTATGATGAGTTAGAAACTCTTAAAGGGCTAAAGACTTCAATTAAGTGATGTCAAGATTACAAGTCTTTTCAACTAGCTGCCAGGGTCGTCTGAGCTCGGGTTCTTCGCTAGTAGTTTTAGCTATTGCCACTAGAGTGCATGAGAGACAATGTCAAGAGGGGTTTTTGCAGTTCACGGCGTACAGCAATCGACTGCAATCTCGCTTTTGTTTTCATGCGCAGATGCACAGAAGTGATGCGATCTTAAAACAGTTCGAGTCTGCGCAGTAGGTCGAAATTGCAATTGATTGTTGAACGCTATGCCGTGCATTCCCCCCTTACAGTTTTGAATGGAATGTTAAAGAAAATGGCGGTTCTTTTAAACTTACGCTTGGGCCATCCAAGGCTATAGGTTGTTTATTGACGAGATTCGAGGACTCGAAAGGCATCTTGACTGGCTGCGGTGTAGTTGTGGGTGGAGGTTGCGTTGTGATCGGCAATAGGGATCCCAGCTGCAACAACATAATGATAATATTGACAAAGGGGATAACAAAATCATTTCCTTGTACTGAATTAAGAGAATGAATTCTAGAGCACAGATTAAATTAAGTCCACATATTTTTAAGAATTCACTAACAAATTAATTCCATCATTTCATCGAGAATTTCCGAAATTTCATCGAGAGCCGGCCTGTTGGCATAGGGGCTTTGGGAAGGTGTCCCCCCCCCATGCGCTATACCATGGTCTCCTGAAGTTTCAGGATAAACAGGATATTTTGAACGCAAGCAACGACACTAAAGCAATGCGGAATATTGCAAAAAATATGACCTTATCATCTCGTTACTTGGCAGAGAAAGTTGTTTTAAAGGATAATGAAAGAGAAGCAAGTAATCCGAAAAAAGTGGCAAATCTCTTCAAACAACACTTTTCTAGAATTGCGGCTGAAGTCACGAAGGGGCTAAAACAGCAAAATTCATCATCATTACCTTCCCAAAAAATTTTCGACACAATGTTTATTTCCGAAACTACTTCTAACAAAATCTTGAGAATAGTCAGTAAACTAAATAATAAATATTCATCTGGTTTAGATGAATTTCAGGGTTGTTTATTGAAAACTTGTATACCTGCCTTTATACAACCGTTGCGACTTAGACGCCGAGTGCGACCTTGAATAAATACAAACTTCTTGCAGAGGAGCGAATAAAGATTTCCGAAAAGTTTCTGTATTTTGGATTTCAAAGTCAGAGTGATATTTATTTATATACTCACTCATATTATATAACCAATATGTAATATTGTTTAATATATAATATACAGGGCGTTTATCACAGTATCATAAATGACTGGTATCATATTGTTGTTTTCGTGTATTATGAAGATAATGGATAGCCGAAAACACACAGAATCCAAATTTAAGCTCTTTTGTCTTTTAGAAGTACTCATTCGTCTGATGGGCCTTTTCTACGCCGGTGGTTTAGAAGTGGTCGTTCGTGACCACAATAAGTCGCAAGTGTTTTCAAGGAATAAAATTATTATAATATCGACATCGACAAAGGTTGTTGGTATGACCATACGTTTACATAACTGTTCTATAAGTACAGAGTGTTCCATTTAAAATTGGTTTTCGGAATATTTTGAGAAGTGCGCATCGGATCAACAAAAGTGGGTAATGAAATTGTTCGTATCTAGGGGGCCAATCCATTAACACCAAACTCGACCCCCTGCTTCTACTCTCCGAGGGTGGGGATGGAGAAAAAATAAAAAAGTTAAATGAGTTATTTTTACCTGTGTTATGTTTAGTATTTTGTACATCTAGACTTAAAGATTCCTGTGGCAGGAGGTACGTTTTCTATTTTTCCTTTCGGATTTTCTTGTTTTTGAAGCACCCTTTGTAAGTTTTAATTTTCTAGAAGAGCGAAATTGTCACTGCTTACATCTAATCCTTTATACATGCTCATATCAGTAAATAGTTGGTTTGTCTTAGTGTTAGCCATGATGTAGTTGATGGAACTAGTCTAACCATGAGCTGACCAATTATATTTGAGTATGCGTTTGTAGAGAAAGAAGAATTTCATAATTTTTAAGTTGTTACAGGAAGAAAAATCTCTGAGCAGTCTAGACTTCATATACTCTAAGTGGATTTCTATTAGAATAATAACAGTAAGCTTCAAAATAGATAGAGGATATATTCCGTTCATTTTTGTATATGCACTGGAGGAAGGAAGAAAGCTAGAAACGGAGGAGTTCTATAGTTCTTTTCAGAAAACCATACAGAATGTATATAAATAGTTTTTTTTAGTTTCAACTAAAAGCTTTATATCTTTACATAAATATTGAATGGACTTGCATTGTGTTTTAAGTTTGTTGCTCCTGAATATACAAATAAATTCATTAGAGATTATCTTTTCAATTTCACACATTAGTTCAGTGTTATTGCTTGTGACGGGAACGAAACTTGATGGAATTTTATTTGATTAGGATGGTTCTTCAGGCGATTGCTCCTTGAGAAAGCTAAATCTGTTGGAAAATCTTGCGTTGACAGATTCTGAAGGGTTGAGTGTCCCAAGCTGCTACTACTCTAGGTGTTGCCTTGCATCAAAGTGTTTGGCGTCTTCTTCAGAGTGTTTTCCGGTCTTTTGGCCGCAGCGGCCACACGGTTGAATGACTGGTCGCGGAGTCAGAAGGTGTCGGTGGAGAGGCGTGTGAAACGAATTATTTTGGAAGTTACTGAGTTGAATTGTAGCGTATGATTCCACGAAGACTGTTAATGGCGATGAACAGTAATGTTTAATTGTTGAGAGCTGCATTAATGGTGAGAGCATAGGCTTTCACGGACGGAGTCAGTATTTAATTGGCTGTCCGGGTGACGTCACCCGGACAGCCGATTAAATTGTGCACTGTTTTAGGTAACATACAGCACGATTAATAGTTTAGATCCCACTAACACTTCCCTGACCGAGCGAAATAGCCCAGGGCATAGCGCGCAGACTTTGCATTCGGGAGGCCCGGATCCAGTCCTTGTGCCGGCCATCCATCCGGAGTTTTCGTGGTTTCCCTCGGTGATCCAGGCGAATGCTAGGATGGTTCTTCTGAAAGGCCACGACCGCCAAACCTGCGTCGGTAGCCGAGTTCGTTAACTACGTGAAGCCACGAAGGTTATCTGAATTCGAGACTTCGCGGGTTCCTGGTTGGGTGACCGACGAGGAACCCTGGGATCTAACGGCGTCGAGGCCAATTGTTCTTTGTGGGACATACTATAATGGCTAAAAACAAACACTTCACAGCCACTAAGCGGACTAGACATTAACATAAGTGATAGACTGAAGTACTCACAACGTCTAACATAAACGTAAGCAAACTAAGAGTTTGGCTTTAAGACATTCTACAATACTATTGACTGCATATAAGAAACGATTTCGAGGTATCGACTGTGTTCATGGCGTTATGGCATATGACGTTAGTTCGTCTATTGACTTCGCTCCTCTTTCGATTCTCGATTTTTAGTTAATGTACTGTGATTGGTTCATTTCTTATGTCTTACTAAAGCATATGCACAGAAGTTTGAAGCTTGCAAGCTTTTAAGCTAACGTTTTTCCTGTTATGCTTATGCGAATGCATTGTAAAAGAGTCCGCTTATGGATGTACTCCTAACTTTTATGTTAACGCCAGGCTTACGTTTATGTTGGCATTGTGAATGGGCCTTTAGACCTCTTTCAAGGGACGTCAATCTGATTTGCTTGAAATGAGATCGAGAATTTAACATCCTTCCAATATAATTTTACCAAAAATAATGTGCGCCGAGTATGTCTCTCTGCACTCAACCTCCTATTAAAAATTTCATTTATGTTTGTATCAACCAGATCACTTAGAAACAAGTGTAGAGAACAAAAACTTCCAGCGTCTGTTAAGATTATGGCGTTTACCCAATTTACGTTACAAGCTGCAGCTTGTGCAACCAACATAATTTCTGTTTCTATAGCACTCTCACCAGCAAGGTGCCACTGAGATGAGACTTTCCTGCTGCACTGTATCCTATAGATCTCGTAAAAAATTATATTAAACGAATATGATAATATAGTGATAGTTTGTTATTTGTAAGCACAGCTTAGAGTGCTTATAGACGCCACACCTGAGCAACTGAGACACTCCAGCGTGTCGGCCTTGTTCTTACCGCAATGTATTGCCATCCATTGTTCACTCGCACGAGCAAGGCCTCCTCGTCGATGACATAGGCCAGAGTACCCACTGGACTCATCTCAGACATCTGGGGACATTAAAAGTAAACAGAAAATTTGACATATTTAACGAAAAAGAATGAAATTAATTATTCAGTGTTTATCTGAGAACTGGATTGCTTTCAATAGTTAAAATGTTATCAGGAAATTTAAAAAAATTGTGAATGGAAATATTATGCTGCACAAATATCTAAGAACATTTTAGGTTCCCATTTTTAAAGTTTTTACGTTTCAAAATTACATTTCCTTATGGTACAATTATTGAGAGCTGAAGAAAAATAACAATTTATTATAAAAAACATTTCTGTAATGTCAACATATTGTATTTTTCCTCTCAGAGATAGACTAACATGAATTACACATGCAAGCAACGCTAATGGGATAGATACAAAGGGTTTGTTCATTAACATCAGGTTTCTTTATTCATTTTTTAAAATATCTATTTCACGATTTATGTTCCTGGAAATGCTTGTATTACGCGTTTCAATACTTCCAAAACTACCGTCCAGTATCGAGGGATCATTAGGATGATCCAATTTTTCAAATTTGCTTTAGCCGTGGCTCCAATGAGTGAATTTCTGACACATTCGTGTCTTGTATTCTTGAAATCCACAGAGACTGTGTCATCTTTTGACTTAGGGTATCAACTGATGTCACTGCAGTGCCTTTGACCGAGAGGAACTACGGTTGGAGTCTCAGTGGTGGCCAGATTTCCGAGGATAGCTACAGGAAAGGATGGGTCTGGAGGATAATTCTAGCATTGGGAGGGGGAACCCTAGGTCCTCCCGGTCAGAGGCATTGCAGCGATATTAGATCATTCCTGTTAGAGGATTTGATCTATCCACAACACCTCAATTCATTTCAAAACTCTCCAAATTTTTTCCAAATCATGCTGTCTTCTCCAGCATCAAGTAAATTCCGACTTGGAAAATCCTACAGCCAAACGAGAGATCAATCGACATTCTGATTCCCAAAGGATAAATTCAGACCACCTTAATAACCTATTTCCTCTTCTAACCTAATGGAATGAGTTCCTATCCCTCTACCATTCCTCTGAATCACCCCAACCACATAATACGTACCTTAAAATTGAGGAAACAAGAGGAAGTGACCTCACTCATATCAATGCAAACTGTAAGTTATGGTTGCTGAGGCTTCTGCTGCCGGAGTTGGTGTTATCTAGGCTCTTCGGGACGAGCCGCGTCACTGACATGGTGACTAACGTTTCAACCAGCGTATTGTGGCCTTCCTCAGGGCGTTCAGCTGACGCGTACTGCTGAGCGTAATGCAGTACGCTCTGAAGAAGGCCACAATACGCTGGTTGAAACGTTAGCCACCATGTTAGTGACGCGGCTCGTCCCGGATACCCTAGATAACACCGACACTCCAGCAGCAGAAGCCTACGCAACCATAACTTAGAGTTTGCATTGATAAGAGTGAGATCACTTTCTTCTGGTTCCCTCAATTTCAAATTACGTATTATGCGATTGGGGAGATTCAGAGGAATGGTAGAGGGATAGGAATTCATTCCATTAGGTTAAATTATTATTAGTTAGTTTTAAATTATTAATATCAAAACTCTCATGTAAAGCGCCAATCCGCGGTGTAAGAAAATTGTTTAATCCAGAAAAAGCTTGATCCCCTGAGCCTTATCTATATTTATTTAGCCACCAGCAGTCTAAACAAATATAGCGCCACTAGCAGCCTAAATAAATATAGCGCCACTAGCAGCCTATATTAATTTAGCGCAGGGCAAGCGAGGCGGGGTTGCTCACCCGCGTCATGGCTTCCCTGCTCTCGAAGGTGACGGCGCCGGGGACGATCTTGGAGGCCGGGTCCGGCTGCGGTGGCACGCGCCCGGCGGGCGCCGGAGGACCTGCGTCATCAGAGCACAATTTAGCACCACGGCACACCTTAGGTTCAGGGAGCACAGCCCCACTTTAGCAACACGGCCCACAGTCACACTTTAGCACCACGGCACACAGTCCCACTTTAGCACCACGGCACACGGCCCCACCTTGGCACCATGGACCCCAGTTTAGCAACACGCCACACAGTCCCACTTTAGCATCACGGCGCACAGAACACTGCCCCACCTTAGCTGCACGGTACACGGCACATCTTAGATGAACGGAACACAGTTCCACTTAGCAACACGTCATACAGCACACAGTCCCACTTTAGCTCCATGGAACACAGCTCCACTTTAGCAACACGGCACACAGTCCCACTTTAGCACCCAGCACATACTCCCACTTTAGCACCACGACACATACTCCCACTTAAGCGCCACGGCACACGGCCTCACCTTGGCACCATGGACCCCAGTTTAGCAACACGCCACACAGTCCCACTTCAGCACCACAGCACCACGGCACACAGCACACAGCCCCACCTTAGATCCACGGCACACGGTCCCATATTAGATCCACGGCACACAGTCCCACTTTAGCAACACGTCATAGAGCACACAGCCCCACTTTAGCATCATGGCACACAGCACACAGTCACACTATAGCACCACGCCACACAGTCACACTTTAGCACCACAGCATCTAGCACACAGTCCTACTTTAGCATCGCTGCACCTAGCACAGAGCCCTTCTTTAACACTACGACACACAGTCACACTTTAGAATCATGGCACACAGTCCCACCTTAGCACCACGGCACACAGCCCCACTTTAACATCGCGGCACACAGTCACACTTTAGCATCACGGCACACAGTGCCCCTTTCTTACAACACAACACACAGTCCCACTTTCGCACTACGGCACCCAGCATATAGTCCCACTTTAGTACAGCGGCACACAGACACACTTCATGAAGGCACACACTCAGGGGCGCCCAGAGAAAACCAGGGGCCAGGGACATTTGACCCAAGGAGGCCCCTAATTCCAAACAAAAAATTCCATCTTCCCCGGTTCATAAACCGAATTAACTTCTACAAGCACCAGAAATAACGTTTAGCGTTAAATTTAGATGAGACATAAATATATTTTTCATTTCTTTTAAATGAATCAACAATTCGGGGCCCAATTAAATCGGAACTGGAGGCAAGTTGCCCCCTCTGCTTCTGGTCGCCCCTGCACACACGCACTCTAAAACAATTCTTATCCAATCGTATTTAGAAAAGAAACTTGGAGGAATCACGCTGCAAATTAATAAAGAAACAACAGGAAAATAAACGGAGAAATGACAACTAAATATATTTGAAGAATATTCGTTTACCTTCGTTTGCCAAAATTGATTTGACTATTTATTTTCGAACTATGTAATTATTTAAACAATATTATTGTATAGTATCAATGTCTACAGTACATAAATTAACAATATAATATCATATGTATTGTTTATATATGTACTGTGGACATGACAAATATAACAAATATGCCAAATTAAGGATAAATAAATCTATTGTTAAAAGTACTGTTTTATATGGATCAAAAATTTGAAAATGTAAGAAAAATTTAAAACAAAAATTTCTGGCAACAGAAATGGATATGAATAAAGTTCACACAATTTTAAAAACAATTACAATGGTTTGGACACGTTAAAAGAACGAAAGAAAATATAATTCAAAAAATAATTTTAGAATGGTATCCTATGGATAGAGTGAGGAGAGGAAGACCTAAACATTGCGTTGGTTGAGTAAAATTGAGGGACTTTTGAAAGAGAAGAATTTATAAGACAAGGATTACGAAGATCGGGACAAGTGGGAGAACAACAATTATAAAGCATTAGAATTTTTGGGTAACAGAAAGTTGTTTTTAACAATGTTGTGAAATTATATATTATATATTATATATTATATATTATATATTATATATTATATATTATATATTATATATTATATATATTGGGTTGCAGGAAGTAGTTTTTAACAATACTGTGAAATAAATTAATAACAAAATTTGTTTAGTGAACAAAAATTCTGCGAAGTCCCGAAATGTCGGACTGGATCCGCCCTGCCATGCAGCAGCGGGCCAGGCAGACGCAGCCCTCGCGCGTACCTTGCGAGTGGAATCCCTTGTGGCCCTTGAGCGAGGTGAGCTCGCGCAGGGCCTTCAGCTCCTCGAGGGCACCGCCGCGAGCTCCTGGCAGCGTGCGTTAGAGAGCGCTCGTGTGCGATGGCGTCGCTTCGCGTCGCGCCCAGCGCGAGCGCGAGCGCGAGCGCTTTTTGTTTTGTGCTTACCTGGCCGGCCGACGGGAGACAGGTCGCCGAACACGTGGCTGCGGCCGCCCGGCTCGCCCTTTTCGCCCTTCTCGCCCACCACCGACACGCCCGGCGGTCCCGGCGGGCCCTACGCACGCACAACGCAACCATTTACCTTTTTGGACTTCCAGCTCTGTGCCATATTGCAAATTTGCAACCTGGATCAAAATGTAGTTGAATGTAAGTTGCGAAGAAAAAAATGGGAAAAATGTGGTACTTTTAAAGTACATCTCAAAAAAACAAAAAAAAATCAACACATTACATGCCGGAGTTTTTTTGGCAACTTTACTCTTCAAAGGTGAACGGTAAGGGCATCACTTTTTTTTCTTCCTACGACTTTTATCCTGCCGACAGCCAGTTGCCCTATACGGAGTCTGATTGGGGGGGTCAGTAAAAAGCGAGGCCCTCCGCGTCTACACATACATGAGAGACAAGGGACAAACAACTATACATAAGGCGGGGTTGGGGTTTACCGGAGGTCCAGGCGGCCCGGCCACGGGCACGAACTGCACGGTGCCGTCGGCGACGCCGCCCATGCCGGAGCCCGGGATGCCGGGCACGCCGGGGGGCCCGGGCTGCCCTGGGGGGCCCGGGGGCCCGGGGGGGCCGACGATCGCCTCGCCCGGGGGGCCCCGCTCGCCCCGTTCGCCCTTGCGCTGGAAGAGAAGCAAACGACAAGTGCGTGAGCCTCACAAGCCACAGATTCGCCGGGGGTTTAGAGCAGTTCACCGCTACCAACAGGATTTCAACAGCCACGCTTAACTCGTAATAACATTAAAACTTATTTCATAAGAACCTTATTATTTTTGCACACAATACTGATTGAAAAACTAAAGGAAAATTAAATTATGAAGTTCTTAAAAATATACAAACACAAATTTGTTTCTGTTTCATAAATTCAATATACCATTGCTGTGAATTGTTGTTACTTACGCCTGAGTCGTAGAAAACTTCTCCTGGATCACCTTTATCGCCTTTAACTCCAGGAATGCCTTGAGGTCCCGGCCGTCCTGGTGTACCCTAGAAAATAAGATTTCTTGTTGATATTCACAAATAAAAATGAATAAATAATAAGATGAAAATTCTTACGTAATAAATAATAGCCACTGTGTAACGTTATTAAGGAGTAGAAACCAAATTAGTAATAACTTACCTTGTATAGATTCTGAGAGATATGTGGGAAAAAGAGGAAATAGCAATAATTAATTTTCTGTAATGAAGGTATACGCACTGTAGATATTTATAATTTATTATACGTTTTTAAACATTGGTAATTTATAGAAAGACGTTTTGAATGATGAAATATAATTCTTGGGTGACTTGAACTATTTACAGACAAATCATCAGACTAGTACGCAAGAAGTTAATGAAGCAGCAAAATTTTTCTCCACATAGGATCATTACTAAAGAATTTTTCAGAATAAAAAGAAGAGTATAACATCATTTAAGGACCTAAAATTGAATGAAGACATGCAGAAAACATCGAAGCCGCATGAATCAATACTGTTGTACCCTATTGAGGGAAAGTTAAAACAAATAATGGATGTATATACACATGGTAATTGGCAATACACTGAGTTTACAAGATTACTAATCCACACTTGTTTTTGATCTTATATACGTACAGTTCTAATAATGAAAATAGTTTTTCCGAAATTTGTCAAGAAACTAATTGGGATCAATTTCATTGATCAAGTCCCTTAAACGAGCTGCTTCCTTTACGTTGTTCATAAGGATTTTCTATGTTACAACTAGTAAATATAGTCGATTCCGGATATAATGAACTCTGATACAGTGATCCCTCGGATATAGTAAACCTAAGTCACCGGTCCCCCTTGAACTGACATTACAAATAAGCACAAGAAGATTTGATTACAGAGAAGTCTGAACCTTGGCTATTGCGAACGTTGAAAAAATGTCCTGAAAATTAATTTCTCCCAGAAAACATATAATGCCTCAGTGCCACTCCAACACTAGGCAGCTTGGAAAACAATTTCGTCAGCCAAAGGTTGCCAATTTCGACTAACCGCGCCAAACTATGTCCCTCATGGAGGTCATATATTAACCTTTTCACTAGACAATGACACACATGGGTCAGTAGACTTACAAATCCTTGCACGAGAACACACATACTACTTGAAAAACAAGAGACAAACAACCATGCTTGCGGCGGGACTAGAACCCGCGACCCTTGACACCGAGTAACCACCTCGGCCGTCAAGGTCGTCAGTTAACCTCTTATATAGTGAACCAAAAATTTTCATTCCGAGAAGTTCACGATGACCGGAGTCGACTGTACGTTCATTTTCTAAATGTTTAATCTTGGTGCTAAGTCTGAGATGTTTTCTAGGCTATCCGGGACGAGTCGCGTCACTGACGTGGTGGCTAACGTTTCGGCCACCAGTATGTCAGTGACGCGGATCGTCCCGGGTAGCATACATAACACAAACTCCGGTCGCGGAACGCAACCATATGGAAGTCTGAGTTGCTGTGATGGTGTTTGTGCTACTCACCGCCCAGCCCGGCATGCCCATCTCGCCAACGGTGCCGGGCTTGCCCGGCGGCCCCACCGGTCCGGGCGGGCCGGGCTTGCCCCTGCGCCCGCGCTTGCCGTGCTCGCCCTTCTCGCCCTTGACGGTGAAGAACTCGCCGTCGGCCGCCGCGATGGTGGTGGGGCCCGGCGGGCCCCGCTCGCCGCGCTCGCCCTTCGTGCCTGGGGGTCCCTGGGGGCCCCCCGGGCCCGACGCCCCCGGCTCGCCCTTCTCGCCCAGGCTGCCCTGCAACGCGCGCACCACATGACAGCGTCGGACGCACTCCGCAGTTTCTTGCCTGCCCCGGAGACGCCGCGTCCTAGGCCCAGATCGCAACGTTTCTGTGACCTTCCTCAGGGCGAAATTTTCTGAGGAGAAGTGTCATGAGGAAGGTGGTAGAATTGAGGCCAAATCGTTGGCACCTGGGCCTAGGACGCGGCGTCCCCCGGGCATTCAAGTAGCTACTAAACACAAAACATGCCAATGAAGGTAGCTGTCTATCTGAGGAAATAATTTCAAATATATTGTTTCGTTTTATCTTGTACATTTGATTTCTATATTTGTGCGTTTGATTTTGAGCCTTAGAGATCAAATAATTTTAAAAAAATGTACTTGTTTATAGTTAATTTGTCAAAAAGCAGATTTTTACTGTAGACATCCTATCTCCCAAAACAAGTTGATGTATTTTCATAATAATTTTTGTAAATTAATCACAAATGTTTGTTCCAGAGAATGAACTAGAATGGTAAGGTACTGTAAAAACTGAAGAGTCAGGATATTATTATTTTCGAAAAAATAATTGTTTGATGGTATGTTCCGGTAATTTCAGTTAATTTAACTGAAACAGTGACACATTTACTATTCTAGATCACTCTCTAGAGTATATCATAGATTGCAAGCTGCAGGAAGAATTATTCCATTATCATTTATAGTTTATGATTTATGACGTTTGACATGTATGAATGTGTTGTACTTACTAATAGTGAATTGAAACTTCTAACAATCAAATTATTTTTTTTAAATTCACAAAAGAATACAAGTGTTGTTTATGTCATCAAGGAAAACGAAATAAATGACTGTTTAGTCAGCTGTAGTGGATAAAAAACATTAAAAGAGAAAGTATCATAAGTCCTTACCTGCTGTCCAGGTACGCCGGGGATGCCCGGCAGTCCATCTGCCCCTCGGTCGCCCTTCTCGCCCTTGTGTCCTGGGTCGCCCTTCTCGCCCTGCGGGCCCGTCAGGCCCGGCTCGCCCTTGAGCCCTCCGCGCACTGCAACAGGGACACGAGTCACAAACGGGCCCTTCTCGCGGCCGGAGGCAGCGGGTATTACTCGCGCAACTTTTCTTGAACGATGGATTTAAGAAATGCGGGTAGAGTGGGGGTATTACGTTATGAAATCGGCCACTAGATTTTATGAAGCAATGCCCATCTCTGGAGAATAAGTCAGGCCTTCGCAACTTTCTCAATAATTTGCATTCCAACTTTCTTAGGAGTTTGAGTGATCTCCAGTGAAAGATCTTTACCCGTTTCGGTAATTTATTTATATTTTTTGGGAAGAAAATAACGGATAGAAGTTCTCGTCTTCAAAAGAAAATTGTTTCTATTTCGCGCCAGTGAAGGTGTGTTTGGAATGTTGTTATCAGTGCTCGCTGCAAGAGTTTGCCTTCATCTGTTCATTGTGTCAATGAGGGGGAAGCAAGATCATGGCTCAAGAAAAGTTGCACGAATAATAACACTTTCCCCACTGCCTCAGCCTTTTCGCCACCCCACCCTAACCTCACTTCGGAAACCAGGTGAAGCATGCTCCGCTGCGAAACTGTTTTACCATTAATTACTCTGCATATATTCCCTTACACGTAAAATAGAGTTTTAAAATGATTTTGATGCAGATAATTGCAGGCCAGAGGAAAACCTATATTAGTTACGCAATTACTTGATAAACATGATACATACTTAACAAACTCTTGACTGAAAATATTGCCCTTAAATGTTGAAGAATGTTCAAAGAAAAGTAAAGAAAGAAATATAATACATTTTAAAATAAGTTTTGGGCCAAAAATATTTTAGCTTTAATAAGCATTGTTTTGTATTTGAAACAACACCTAGCTTCACAACATTTTACAACCTTCCATAATATTACTAAAACACTCGTGTCACAATTACACACTCATTAAATTATAGACATTCTTGAGTTGTCTGGACGACAAACCCTGAACATTCAACTTTTTTGTTAACTAGCAAAGCTCAAAAATTCCAGTCTGATTGTCATAAATATTTAAAAAGGATCCAAACGTGTGAAAGCATTAAGGAATGAAAAAAAATGTTTTATTTTAAAGCAAAACACAATCATAGTTTAGTAATAAAATGTTAGAACTTCGATCGCTCACAATATGTCATCACTTCCTACACAAGCCTTTTTCGTAGCTGCTTTCGTGAAAAACAGCTTACATTAGAGATGGTAGAACTGACTTTTGAAAAGTCGCAGATGTTTGATTTCATTAGTGACAGTCTATGACCAAGTACAGTGAAATAATTTATTACAATATAATTGCAAAAAATCTACAACGGTCATAGATGAAACATATTTTTAATTTCCATTAACTTCGAATTGATTTACATATTGATTTGATAACTTAGATAATGCAAACTCCAGCCGCGGAAGCCTACGCAATCCTAGGGTTCCACTCCAGACGGTGGCAGGATTTTCGGCACTGGCCAGTCAGCTAGGTCCTCTGGAGTGGAACCTAGAAGCTCCGTGTGAGAGGCCCTGCAGTGAAGTAAGCCACATCTCCCGGAGTGATTCCGGTGCTTGGGGGCAGCGGGGGAAGAGGCGTGTCCTCACCTGGGCCCGCGCCGGATCCGCTCAGCTCTGCGTCCTCGCCGCCGGGGTACAGGGCGCTGAGGGGCCCCGGCGCCCCCGGCGGCCCAGGGGGGCCCGGCTTGCCAGGGTCGCCCGCCTCGCCTGCAACACCAGCGCGCACGCTCTCGTAATAAGGGCAATAACTTTCCAAACTCAAGCACTGATAATCAGCGAATTACATTACACGACGAACTATACAAGATAATGGTCTCATAATTTCAATGAAAAAATATAAATCTGGAAAATAGTTTTAGAAACATAAATAACCTTTAAATCATCAATGTTGACTTACGAGTATAAGAACCAATTAATAACAGACAATTTAATAATTGGTTGTTATAAGTCAATATTACACAAGACAAATCTAGTTAGAGCTTTCAATCTTTAAGGATGTTTGTATTTGTAGAATTTTACATTTTAATTCACTACCACAATTGTTACATTTATCTTCGTTTTTGTGATGAAATAAAATTTCTGAGGCTTGATTATTGTGAGAAAAAATGCGTTTTTGGAGTCAGAAAATTACTGAAAATTTCCGTTTGTTTCGAGCAGGCAAACCGTTTTTGAACTTCGAACTCTGAACCACATTACAACTTTGCAATGTGGATCAAAATGTAATTGAAAGTAAATTGCGATGAAATCATAGAAAAGTATGGTATTTTTGAAGTACATTTTAGAAAGTACATTTTTTCTCTATTACTTACGTACATTCTGATTGGGGTTGTATTTGATCCCTCCCTTTTACCCAGTATTTACAGGTATTTCATGAACAGATGTTTTCTGAAATTATTAATTGAGTAAATGATGCAATTTATTTATTATATCGCACTAAAAAAGTATATTACTTCCAAAAAAACATTCTAGGATATTCTCATAACTATATATCGGGCTATAATACCAGCACGAGATTGGTTGATATAAAGATTCTCACTCGTAATAGACAAATACGCCAGATTATCAGTCAGAAACCACAACATAATATAAAATAAATAAAATATAATATAATGAAAATCGATACGTTTTTACAATTTTTCTTATAGTTTAGACGCGAAACGTAGAATATATTCAGGAGAGTTTCTAACCCCAAACCGCATAAAAATCAAATTACTTTAAACCAAAGAAAACGTAAAAATTTAAACATGTAAATCTAGACATAAACAGCAAAAGGAGATCAATTAGATGGCCGGTGAGGTAGATACTTTCCAATAATTAAATATGGTAAATTACAAGTGTTGTGTAAATATGCTAAGTTAAAGGACGATCGCTACCTGATCGAAACGATCTTTTGCAAAATAAATGTTTGATGCTAGACAACACCTTTAATTTACCATATTTACGGCAAATTAATTTTTTAATTTACCATATTTAATGATATTAGCAAAAGGAGAATTTACATATACGATTTATTAAAACATTTCCTCTTGCGGCCATCCCAAATAGAGTGTAAGGGTTAAATGAGGTAATAGGGAAAGGAATGGAACTTACCTTTCTGCCCTTTGCTTCCGTCGCGTCCGTTCTCTCCAGGGATGCCCGGCAGCCCATCCACGCCGGCCCGGCCGGGCTCGCCCTTGAAGCCCTGCGCGCCCGGGTGGCCCTCGTGACCCTACAACCCCCACACACCTCTTTTCATTTCAGGAGCAGAGCACGAAAGCAAGAATACGATCATGCGCACTAGCCAACATTTCTACGAGGAAGCCAACGAGACAGCCAGAGTGAAAAAGAGACAGAAGATAACAGCTAGAAGGAGTCTACACAAGTCAAACTACGAATCAACGACAGAAAAGAATAGTTCAGCACATGAAACGAAGAAAACATACTCTGAAAAAGAAAAACACCGAGAAAAGTGCACGTTCATGTAGCTTTGAAGAGAACGAGACAAGGAAATGCAGTCTTCTGCAGCCGCTGAATAATTAAGAACCCAACATCCAATACGTTGGCTTGGGATACATCTTAAAGTTTACTTCCATCAGGAAAGCAATACGAAAGAAATGCGAAGGAAGGAAAGCCCAACAGATCATGCGCCTGCCATGCCAAGTGCGGAGAAGCAGAAGGGGTTGCACGCGGGCAGCAGCCATCCTCCGTCCTCTCACCCTGTCCCCCTTAGCGCCCTTCTGGCCCAGGTCGCCTCGCTCGCCCTTGGTGCCGTGCTCGCCCTTGGCGCCAGGCAGCCCCGGCGCGCCAGACATCCCGGGCTCGCCTTTGGCGCCCGGCGACCCGGGCCGGCCCAGCGACGGCCCGAAGCCCGAGCCCAGCTCCTGCGGACAGGCCCACTAGGCCTTACACCGACTCCCAGCACACGCTCACAGAAGGTGACCACTCATCTTCACAACAAATGTTTATCTGAGTATTACTGAAGGATCGAGGACAGTGACGTAACGTTCGGGGCCGCAATGCGGTAAAAGAGAGCTTATTTTTGCGCTGAAGCTTTTGCGATTGTAAGACATATCGATTACTTAAAACTGTCTTTGATACTTTGGGATAGCTGATGCAAATACATATTAAAAATCTTCCAAAAGAACAATTTTTTCCCGCTTGTGTATCTTAAGTAATCCTGTTTCTAAATAAATAAAATTAGTTTGTATCATTGATTTCTTATGTATTATACCCGCACGTTTTCTTAAGCCCCGGGATACATACCCCCCCACTCCTTTACTAATATTAGTTGAATTCAGCATAAATGTTAAGAACGAGTGTTGTTGACAAAATCTGCAGTTAGGACTATTCGCTCCCGTGTAGTAGAAACTATTTTTCAATCGAAACCCGAGCTACAGATTAGATAGAAAAGAACTGTCGAGAAAATAATTAAACCTCCAACTCCTCTCGCATCTAGTGAAACGAGGGCTCAAGACAGTGTGTGCGGATAAAAAGTAATAATAGACTGATGAATATGAATGTAGGATATTTTATATTATTTAAAGTAATAACTGTACTTAAGTTTGCTATACACTTTTATACAGGGGTCCGCATAAACGTTTTCCGAGAGGATCCAAAATTATTTCGTTACGCTACTGATGGAGAAGGTATCAACCACAAAGTTTATTACATTACAAAAAATAAACAGATATACACGTGTTTCGCGACTAATTTATCCTATCTTCAGTGGCTCTACAATGGTGAAAAAAGTGAACAAATATAATTAGCATATTGGTTGATATAAATGAACACAGGAAAAGAAATGAACACTGTAAAATTTATATAAATAGAATACAAACCCAAATATGCATACGTTAAGCAATCTTTGTAGATCCACTGAAGCACATACCACCATATATCGGCTTCCGCCACAGAATTTATTCAAATGTTTATCTCTTTGGAGGAAATCTTCAATTAAAACATATAGTTTCAAAATCTGAAATTGTAATCAAGTGGCACTCTGGCTTTTAAGTTTTTACTTTTAGGTTATTTAAATTTTCTTCATTTCACAACGCAAATCCTCACAAAAATAATCAACAAACAATGTTTTATAGGTTGTGAATAAATCTACGAATATGTACGAGTCACAATGTATCACAATGTATCACACAACATCTGCAATATTTAAAATACAAGGGTAAACATTTATATAAAAATAAGACTTTGAAAAACAAGTTTTCCTATTTTACTTGACTGTAATATTGTAATTACTTTGAATTCAGAAATCAGAATCATGTAGAAATTGATTACCATGAAATTCAAGTTGGCAAAAATCTTCAACATTGAGTTGGTCAAAGTCCGTGCACGTCTTCGACATCAGAATATAATTAATCTACCGCTGGAAAAAAGTTCGGCGCCTCATCCAATGAACCACCTACCTTGTACACGCTCGTCCTCGATTTCCAGCTTGGCTAGCAGCGTGAAACAAGAACGCACACACGTATAAACAAAAACCCAAGGCGAGCGACAATACGCACCGCCGAAACAAAAGAGCGCGGGGTATTCCCCTCAACCGGCCACGCCCCCCTGGTCGGGGCCTTCGGAGTCCGAGGTTCATTCGCTTTTACGACTGCCGCGAGATTGGACAGGCACCCGGGAGCGCCGGCAGGCCGGCAGGGCCGGGCGGGGCCGGCATTTCCCACTCGGCACTCAAATCTGAGTGGCGGCGCAGGGCGCTTGGCGCTTGGCGACGGTGCTGCTCTCCGCGGCGCAAACGCGCACTAGCCACACACTCCCCCTGCCTCTAGTCTATCCAAGCCTCTATCCTATCCAAGACGAGCCGATCCGGTGGCCGATCCGATACGGCACTACTACTGCCTTAGCGATCTCGGACCAAAGGATAGTGGGTTCGAGTCCCGCCTCGGGCATGGTTGTGTTGTGTTCGTCCTTTCACCCCCTATTATCATTTCACTGGGGAAAAACGGGAAACCACCCTGAATATTTCATCATCCCAAGAAAATCCTCTATGGGTCACCTAACTGCGTAACGTATATGGTAGATAGGACAAAAAATCCAAGACGAGCCGCGTCACTGACATGGTGGCTAACGTTTCGGACAGCGTAGTGTGGCCTTCCTTAGAGCAGGACGCTTGTGCCCCGGCAGTACACTCTGGAGAAGGCCACAATGGTGTCAAACGTTTCGGCCAGCGTATTGTGGCCTTCTTCAGAGCGTACTCAGTACCGCAATACGCTGTCCGAAACGTTAGCCACCATTGTGGCATTGCCCAGAGCGTACTGCCGGAGTCCTGCGAGGAGCAGTACGCTCTTAGGAACGCCACACTACGCTGTCCGCCCATGTCATCCATGTCAGTGACGCGGCTCGTCATCGTCGTCCCGGACAACACAAACTCCGGCCGCCGAAGCCTACGTAACCATCGCCCACCCTTATCTACCGCCGTTTGGCAATCTTCCGCTGAACACGCACCAATTGGGTCACAGCGAGAAAAAACAACTAGTTGTACTTGTTACGTATCTAGTGACTTATGTCCCGCAACAGTTTATGCTCCCGTGGGCGCCACGATCTTACGTATTTCGCTGATTTCCTCTTACCCAACGTTGCCATCCGCTCTCACTCTTGAGGATTGTCAAATAAAACGTTTCAGGTTCTAACAAAAAGAAAATATATTGTTCGAAATGCTGGATGTCTTATAAATGGGCAAACTGTTACCTGCTCAGCATCATCGAATATTTTGTTCTGTATTCTTGAATCACTGATTAATTAATTTTAACTAATAGCTTCGCCAAGTTTTTTTCTATTCACTTAAAGACACTACCAAATGGATATTTGAACAAGTATTTCAATTCAAATCTCACGACATAATAGCCATGCGGTCATCTTCTTCAAACCCTCGCCAGTATTCCCTCTAAACAAACTTGCCTGCATAGCTAACCATTACATTACTGAATTGTTCGTTTTTTACGATTTGATACACTCGTGCCAACTTGTATTTTCATTTCGAAACAGTACTGTTCTTTTTGAACATTATACGGTAATAATTCATAATTCGGCTATGTTTGTTCTTCGATCGAACAGATCGTCCACAGATACGACAAATAGCTCGAAATACACAGCGATTATGTAAAAAAGCATCCACATTTGTTCACAACTTTACTGAAAAATGACATTTTAATGAACTTACATCTTTTTTTAATGATTCGTTGATGTTAAAAAGAACTCGTTCGTTAAACTACGTGAGTGAGCGTTGTGAGGTTTTATTGCATTTCCAACGTTCCTCTTGAGTTTCGTGGACGGTGAGCTGACGCGGATGGGGCCTCATTGTGTTGGCGGTTCCAGCAGCGGCGAGGTGGGCGGGAGAGGGAGGAGGGGGTGGAGGAGGAGGGAGCCGGGGCCGTAAACCGTCAGACGGCGCTCGCCACCGGAGGCGCCAGCGGCGCTGCACGCGTCGCGCCTCTTGATTGGCGGCCGTTTAGCGCAAGTTTGCTTATTTCCGCGTCGGTCTGCAAGGAAGGCGAAGGAAGCAGGGCGTCCAAAAGGAGCAACTTTTCCAAATGTCACTCCTCCTCCTCCTTCCCGGCTCCCCGCCTTGGCCCAGAACAAGCGGAGGTTAAAATTCTCGCGCCTGCCGACGACGCAGAGCCCGTGCGAAGAGGGGGGAGGGGGTTTCCGGTCTAGAGCAGGTTCATTTCCGGGCGTGGGAGAGGCTGCCGGGGAAAATGCCGGGGCTTGGGGAGGGGCCCGGATTTGAGAGTGGGGGCAAAACGATGCGAAGGAAGAAGTGCAAGGAGGGCGATGGGTAGGGGTACGGGAAGGGTGGAGTGGGGAGTGGAGCGGGGAAGAAGGGAGGATAGCGGTTGAGGAACGCAGGGAATTGGAGAGGGAGAAGAAATGAGGGGGAGGAAGAGGGGAGGAACGGGGAAGGAAGAGGGGAAGGGAAGGGGAGGAGAGGAGGGGAAGGGAACGGGGAGGAAGAGGGGAAGGGAGGGGAGTAAGAAGGGAAGGGAGGGGAGTAATAGGGGAAGGGAGGAGTAGTAGGGAGGGGGGAGAAGAGGGAGAAAGGGAGAGGGAGTAAGGGAGAAGGGGAAGGGAGGGAAGAAAACTGTGAAGGGGGGTGGATGAAGGGGTAAGGAGGGGCGTTGGGAAGGTAGAGGGAAGGGAGGGGAGGGAAGAGGGGAGGGGAAGGGAGAGGGGAAGGGAGAGGAGGGAGAGGGGAAGGGAGGGTAAGGGAAGGGAGGGAGAGGGGAGGGAAGAGAGAGGGGAAGGGAGGGGAAGAGGGGGAGAGGGGAAGGGAGAGAAGAAAAGGAAAATGGGGAGGAAGGGGAGGGACGAGGACTGCGGTTGACGAAGTGCGGGGAGGGGGAAGAAAAATGGAGAGGAAAGGGTGGACTGAGGGGAAGGGAGGAAAGCAAAAGGGTGGAGGGAGGGGAGGGGAGGGGCTGGCCCAAGTGGGCGGCGCAGGTGTGCCGGATGCTCGCTCGCCGATGCTTGCGGATGTGCGCAGCGAATCCCCAAGGGAGCCGTCGCTATTCGCCGCCATCAGTGGTCGAAAATCGCCGCTGCAGATGCGAAGCCCCCAGATGACTTTGGAATGTCTTCGCCAAAGTAATCAGCGCAAGGATTTCCGATTCCTTCGTGGAAGCGAAAAATCCAGATTTAATTCGTGTGGCTGCAGTAAAATGCTCGGAATGTTTGACTGACAAGTTTCTTCTCCGATGCCTTAAATTGGGAATTGATGTTCTCATTTCTACGATAATTTTTTAACTGCTACAAGAGTGTAAAGCCATTAAATATATTTTAGATGTGATTTTAAACATTTTGATTTTACACAACAATTCGAAGTAAGCTTTTAATTCATATTCAGTAAGTAGTAGTATCTTTAATATTAAGCATTTGCACTTTTTTCGCACTGCATTTTTAGATTTCCATGAGAACAAGATATAGAGGTAAAACAGTAATTGAAATAGACGAAGAAATAGTAATATTTGTCAGGAAGTATTATTATTTTTACAATATGAAAGTTCTTGTGACATTTCTAGTCTTCAAAGTTTCAATGAAACGAAGCGCTGTGTTCGTGAATACTTGTGTCACTGAAAGCCATGGTCTGGAATTATGTGCGAAAGTAAAACTATTTTCCCATAATAAGCCATAATAATTACATCTTACTTTCAATCACGTAGATTTCAAATAGACGATAGATAATGATTATCGACACTCTACAAGGTTTCCGTCGTGTGAATGAAGGTAGAGTGGATGAGTGAGAACGTAGAATGAATGACGGGCAGAGGGGGGCAGGGATGATGAGTAAGGACGTTTGGTGAGCAGCCGTAATTTTGCTCTGTGATGTCACGTTTCTCAATGTTTGTCTTAATAAAATACTCACTTCGCGCACGCTTAGCGGAACAAATACCGGCCCACCTTTACTTACTACGATCGTAAATGAATTAAATGTTTTTTTACATTTACAATAGTCAGGGGTTTGATTCACGAATTATAAAGAAACTTACTCCCAATTACAGACTTTGACACGCACGTTTCATCTATCTAAACCTACATAGTTTTTGGAAAGCTTTTGGAATTTTTCTCTCTCGAAGTGTAGATGGGTGATTTCTTACCTACCGCTCAATGTACCAAGACTTCGTGAGCTGGAGACGCAAAGGAAGCACACGCCATGGGGGCCTTGTTTGGCACTTGCTGTACTTTATTTTTTATTTATTTACGTCAAAAAACAGTTAAATACTGTGTGTGACGTGCTATGGGGTGAAGATAAATTAAAGTTACATTTATGTCCAGAGGCAAAACAAGGGGCCATCTCAGCATTTGCTCAAAGATCAGGGAAACTGGACGAAAACCTGATCGAGATGGGGGTCATTGACCCTGAAGCTGAAGTACAATACTTGTTACAAGTTCTTTAGAATTATACAATCCAAATGGTGCTGAAAATATATTTCTGCCCTTAAGGAAGTCATTTCTGACAAAAACCACTGATTCATATATGAAGAAATGGTTGGTAATGGTGTATAATGGTAAAATACCTAGATTAATAAAGAGAGGTTTACAAGAATCACGTGGGTGGGATTTGCTTATTAATCGTACAATTCTTTTTTGTAATCTAAAAGTCTGGGAGCTATAAAATGTATTTTCATAGGATACAATGCCGTAGCGTAGGCAGATGAATGAACATTCACGAAATACACACAACGAACAGTGTGGAGGCTGACCGAATTTGAAAGAATTCTGAAAGCGTAGCATAAAGAACTTAATTAAGGTTTGACAGAATTGAAAGACGTAACAATTTTGTTACCTTAACATCAGTCAATGGAGTACATAAATGTTTATTTAAAATAGAAAACTGCATTGAAACAGTTTGAAATATCAATTTGAGTTTTTTCACAACGAGTCAATTGTAAATATCTGGTATTGTACTATTTACGGTTTCGTTATCGCAAAGAATATTCGTATCATCCGAAAAAAGAGAACTGTTCTTCTCGTTTCTAATCGTGAGGGCATATCGTTTGCCTATAGTAGGAAGAGAATATGGCCTGAAATCGATCCCTGCGGGACTCCACATGCAATAGGCGAAGAATCAGAAAGTTGAGTACATAATGTTACTTTACTTACGTCGTAGTTGGCGAACTCCGACTTGCCGGGTGGCCCCGGAGGTCCAGGTGTGCCGGGAGTGCCTGGCATCCCGTCACGGCCGGGCTCGCCTGCGCACACACCAATCGCGCCGCTTTGGCACACTGTTCGCACACCTCGTGGTTACCCTGGGATGCATGGACTCTCGGGGAAACTACTTGTGAATAAATTCTCGGCTATCCGGGAAACGCCGCGTCATTGGCTGGAAGGCCGACGTTTCGCCTGACATGTCGCAGGCTTCCTCTGGGCAGTTCACTGACCTGAGGAATGTTCCACAGCAGTTGAGGATGTTCACTGCATGTCAGGCGAAACGTCGGCCTTCCAGCCAACGACGCGGCGTCTCTCGGATAGCCGAGAATTTATGGATTCGAGCCGCGGAAGCTTACGTGTACATAAAACTACATGTGCACTTTGGGCTTTGATACGCCTCGCGGCATATGGAAGACAGCAAGCCGCGCATGTTCTGTACACGGAAGATGCGCGGCTGCCTTCTTCAAACGGAGACCATCTCTCGATTGTGTGTGGTGCCCCCCCCAGACTGTGCGTCGTTTGGTGAAGAAATGTGAGTCAACAGCTTATCGTGGGGATCCGTCGAATTTTCTGTATCTGACACCGACAGCAGTTGAATGGGTTCAGAAGCTATATCCCTTGTTTTAGTTGTATTCTAAGCTGTGTGTACTAGGCAGAAGATAAATGAACTACATATGCAGGGCCTCTGAAGCCCGGCGCAATACGCTCTCGAAAAATTAACATTGTTTTTACTCGTTATAACTTCATTTCTTACTAATTTCAACAAAAGCCAACTCTTAATGGTAAACAAATGACTTTTAATTGAAATAATTAATGATAGAGCTTTAAGAGCCCTGCCTATGCACTGACGTAATAGAATCAAATTTCAGGACACAGTGTGTAGAAAGATGGAAGAAACATTACACGGAGGACAAACTCTCAGAAATGCAGCTGTGCGAAGTAGAAAGCGAAATATAAAACGTTAAGGCCTCGTAAATCCTGCATTTGCATCCTAGAGTTAACACTGATTTTCCTTGTGGTAGAATGGTAGAAACTGCTTTTAAGTAGATTTATAATAAGCACATTTTTAAAAGAGTTGAACTGTTTTGAATGGTATCCCTGTTACAGTAACACTGTTACAATCACTTAGCATAGATACAACGGTTTTTGGTAAATAAGAGTGAGTTCCAGGGTCCGATAAATATTTTTCTCACACGCCTATCTTAATCCAAATCCGTTCATCAGTCTGAAGAAGTTGATAAATTAAAATACGTATTATTAATCTATGTTTTATATAATTAAAACATTTCTTTTACGAAGTCTTCTGATATTTCTATTTAACAAAATTTCGTGATTTTTTCTTTAAAACAAGATATTAGGCCCAACATGTGTTACCATTTATCTCAATACCATTCTCTCATTATACAATAAACAGTAAATACTAGTACTATATAAACAAAATCACTTTTAGCAACTGCATCACACACGGTTTTAGACTTACTCTTTACTTTAATTCTAGTATACAAATCACTGAGTTGCATTAAGGTCAGAAGTAGCAAATGTAATGAAAAGAATGTATTTTGTTTTCTTTGTTGTTTTATCTGAACACTTGAGCATCGTTTCAAATTTAGCACTAGTGCTAAAAATCAAACTATTAGCACCCTTTACGTGCTCTAAAAATTACCGCTTTGATAACGGGCTGTCTGAAAAAATGTATTATAATATTCTCCCTATTACTTGATAATGTTGCTGTGTCCACAGATTTATGAAAAATGCATCAGAAGAAAGTCGGGAATTTCATCCAAAAAGTATGAAATGTTTCACATGGGTAAAGAAGTAAAAGTTTTTTAACACGCTGTGCGCGAAACACTTGTTTCTCGTGCTTGTTTTCCGTGTGCGAGATAGCTAATTTTTTCACAATGTTCGAAACATCGCAAAGCGAGTGTGCGAAACATCTGTAACGATTCGCAATTGTCTTTCGTCTTGATAAAGTCTTGGTTTATTATTAACAAACAACAGTGTTACGAAACTGACTGGAACCCATTTCCTTTTGTATAATTAAGGTATTTCTTACTACTTGATATTTAATTTATATTCCTTTACTGCGTTTTGCTCCCGGCGTGATAAAAAATAGTATGCGTAACAAAGGCGCGAAACAGTTCCCGCACTTTTCTCTTTATAATAATAATAATAATAATAATAATAATAATAATAATAATAATAATAATATTTATTTGGCTACAATTGGCTGATTGCCAGGTGGTAGCCACAACCCTACAGTTTTACAATATATGAACAAATTACAATATATGAACAATCTTTGCCGTCATCGCTTCTTTCGGACGACAAACTGGACTCGCGCGTGAATCAGTTATTTCGCGCCGTTATTAAGCAAACTGTTTTTTTCATTTCCTCTAGTGACAGAGCTTCTATTGCTAGGTGCTGGTGGGGGGGAAAGGAGGGTGGGGTCTTACCTTTGGAGCCCTGCAGGCCCTCGGGGCCCGGCGCGCCGCCGTCTCCTCGCTCGCCCTTCTCCCCTCGAGGTCCTGGCGGCCCACGCTCCCCTGGCGGGCCCGGCAGCCCCTGCGCACAGCACACGCACTCGCACACACACACAAACACTCACAGCACACGCAATGCACCACAGTGATGCCAGCGCTTTCCTTTTAGTTCTTTGTTTTTCACAGCGTACATAACATACTTTACATACGTAGTGAAGGGTTAGATTCTAATTTATCTACAAACTAATTTGGGTAAAGAAATCTTCTTTAGATACCTCTAAAAACAATGTTTCAGAAAAAAGTGGCTAAGAATGCTTGGTATGGATATCTACTTGTAATTTGGTTCTGCAAGGGGGAGTTAGCTTCCAGAATTTACAAACTTACAAATTCGATATTATGCCTGAAAATGGTAGATTTTAGCAATTTGGAAAAAAACAACAAAAAAAAACACGAAATGTTATCAAATGCGTAATTGTAAGTTTAACGGTCGGTGCAGAATATTTTTATGTTTTCAATCTGCGATAAAACGCGAATTCGATCGCAAAATGCGAAATCACTTACAAAAAGCGAAATTGTCGTGAATCTACGAAATAATCGCTAAATTGCATTTTATGCTTTCGTTCGTGTTCGCTTTCTAATTAGTGATGCGATGTCAACAACATATAGATGTTTGAAAACATTTAATTTGAGTGGTCGTGTTTATTAATTTGTAATTAAGCTTCAATAGACCAAACCAAGTAACAAAATAATAAGGAAAATTTAAAAAATCTGATCCTGAGAGCCTGACCGCTCAGGGTCTCATCTTCCTCAGTTTTCTATTCGGAGAAGGTCACTGGCAGAGGAGAAAGGCCCAATGTCTACGGTTCAAGCCTCACTTTTTTCATTTCTCACACTTTTACGAAATTCGCAAATGACGAAATATTAAATTAGTTTCCCGTATTTCTTGTTTTTAATGAAAAAATCGCAAAAGCAACAAAATATTTTTTATCTCGAAGAGTTCTCCTTCAATAAGAATTTTCTCAAGGAATAATACAAAATCTTAACCTTCATTTTTATAATTCTATAAAATGCTACAGCCTGGTTTTCAAAATGCGATTTAAAAAAATTAAAGTAATAAATTCTACCATCACTAATTATACTACATGGAAATTAATAATGGCTGTTATTGTTGGGCATATAAGTAAAACAAAACCTTATATACGATGTCTCTCGTTTGTTAATAAAAAGAATGCTGTTATAATTTAGATCACAAGAAGAAAGAATGCCCCATTTTCGAGACTCAGATTTTTATGGTTTTGATTTCTTACTTTTTACATTAAAATGTACAAGTTTATTATATCTGGTCGATCGCCACTACGCCCAGGCATTAATATTGAACCGAGCAACTCAAGACACTCCTCTTTAACACAGCATACTGTGATGGGGCTATGTCTCCCAAATATGTTGATGCAGACATCGTTATTTTAACTCCACTTCCTACTAATATAATATATAAAATATTTTAATTTCAGCTAACTCAGAAACATTTCCTTGAACACTTTTTCATAGAAAGTGATATATGCTGAAGATATCATTTACAATTATTTAGATCAATTATATTTAGTAAGAAAATCAAAGGCACATTTTAAACGTTATTTAAAAACAACGAGACTGTCGTTATACATAATCTCTAACCACACCTTAAAAAATGAAAACACAAAATGATAACATTTTTATAGTGGATTACGTATCGGAGGCGGTTCCAGCCCCTGTTTCCCAAGACCTTTTCTGCACGACACAACCGGTCTGCGGATTGCCTATACTCCAGGCGTTTCATGAGAAAATGAATGAGTTTGCTCTGGGCAAAACGATAGGTATGGGCCGGATACCTTTCGTTGAGAAAAAGATACAGCAATAATATATAAACAACGAATGTTAGAGTCAGTGATAAAAAGAAAAAAATACGAAAGAAAATGCATGTTAACGAGAGTACACTAAGGGAAAGGGACGGATCCAAATGATTCTTGAATTAGTATTCTCACAAGATTTTGGAAAAACGATTGTGAATCAAACAGAGGGAATATACAATTTTTACTTTCTGCATACGTACGTATATGCGGAATAACACACGTAGTGGAGAGAAAGTTATGTAATGATGCCAAAAGTACCGTTTTTCCGACAGAAAAAATGTTTTGTGTGTATCTTTTACCTTAAAAGAGGATTTTTCTTGCATGTGCAGTAAATTACTTTCTCTAATACACAGCGAAGTCAAAATCTACATTTTGTTAGGTTCGACCAAACTCACTTTTGTCGACACTGACGAACTAGTGGAGCAACGTGAGAACACGCTGGTTCCCGTTATTTCTAACTATTGTAATTTTCGTAAATATAGAGAAAACAGCAAAAATAAGATATGTGCCATTTCTAAGCATTCTTTTTTTTGTATTCTTGGACAACATTTAAAGAGAAATTTGAAGCTGTTTGTGAGTAAAGATTATTTTGTAAACGTTCTTTACGCTATGGGAGGACGAAGTTTAATAAAAAAAGTGAAGACATATTTGAGAAAAGTTTGAATATGTTGTTAAGGTGTTAATGTACGTACTCCAAAAAATTAAAATTTCCGTTTCAAAATGACAGGTTTTCAAGTTCGTACACATCAAATACGAAGTGGTATCAATTTTGAAGAAATGCATCTCTAGACATTAGCGTTGACCTCATTTAGATGAAGTCAGGCAGACATTTTGTCGACAATAAATTTTTCGGTTACAAGGACCCATACAACATGAATTATGACTATACAACGTAGGATGGAGAGGAAGTAATTTACTACACATAGAAACAAAATGTATCCATCTTTCCGTTAGTAATACGTAATAAGACTTTTTCTTTCGAAAAATCGCCGTGATCTGGCACACATTTACAATACTTTCTCTTCTTAAGAAGGAGAAGAGTGAGGAACTAAAAAGAAAACAGTAGAACTTCTGTACTTTATTAACCACATAGCATGCAAAGTACTGTGTTAGGCGAACAGAGATGAGATAAAAGCGAAAAACCAGCCATGCAATCGAGGGAAACGTTACTGCTTTTGAGGATTTAAAAAGAATGAATAACCCCTGAAACGAGATATCAGCAAATGCCAAGGGGTCGTCCCGCCACATTCACCAACGCGTCGCCCCTACCCTGAAGTGGAGGCAATGTTTTCCGCTTGGCTCAGTGGCGCGGCGAGCGGCCACCGCGGCTACTTTCCGCCGGCCAACGCCGTAGGTCCCGCCCTCGCAGTAGACAATAGTCCTAATGAGTTGCAGGAAAATTAAAAAAGAGGTGACATCCGCGTGGTCTCGTTGACTGGGAACGGCGCCATTTTGTGAAGCCCGCGCATAAAGCGGCTTTCGGCGCGCGGGATGAGATTGGTGGCGCCGACGTGCTCAAAGCCGTTCCCGCGAAAGCACCGTGGCCGTTTCGGGATAATTCCGCGTGCGCGGCAATTATGCAGAAGGCGTTGGCGGGATACCCCCGCGGTCTCGCTGGAGAGGCGATGCGACTAACAAATAGACACCGCCCACGCGGTGATGGGCAGGGCGTGCGCGAAATTCTTTGTGTGTGTGTGAGGGTGTGTGAGTGAGCGTGTGTGTGAGCGCGTGTGTGTGAGCGTGTGTGTGCGTGTGCGAGAGCGTGTGTGTGAGCGTGTGTGTGTGTGAGCGTGTGTGTGTGAGCGTGTGTGAGTTAGCGTGTGTGTGAGCGAGTGTGTGAGCGCGCGTGTGTGAGCGCGTGTGTGTGAGCGCGTGTGTGTGAGCGCGTGTGTGTGAGTGTGTGTGTGTGGGAGCGTGTGTGTGAGCGTGTGTGTGAGGGTGTGTGTGTGAGCGTGTGTGTGAGAGCGTGTGTGTGAGCGTGTGTGTGTGAGTGTGTGTGTGTGTGGGTATGTGTGTGTGTGAAGGTGTGTGTGTGTGAGGGCGTGTGTGTGAAGATGTGTGTGTGTGTGATGGTGTGTGTGTGTGTGTGTGTGATGGTGTGTGTGTGTGTGATGGTGTGTGTGTGTGATGGCGTGTGTGTGTGTGTGTGTGTGTGTGTGTGTGATACGCTAACATCCGGATTCAGCGGATTACAAAATATGCGATATCTGTGTCTTTTCAGAAGTGGATTTCCAATTGCAAATTTGTGTGTGTGTGTGTGTGTGTGTATGTATGTTTTATTACATACGTAGGGCCTACGAATGAGATTACGTTGTTGAATATGCAGCAATCAGAGAAAATGAGATGAGTGGAGTTACCTTTGCAGCCGAAAGTGACGAATATAAATTAGGATTTTGCGCACGTTTCCGAAAATGTAAGAGCGCAAGGGGTAATTCGTGCATTGAAGTGCAGGTACATTTGCTGGGGTGAATGAGAAAAAATAGTTTTTGGTTTTTTGTAATGTGATGGGGTGCATTACGTTGAACAATGGTCTTCCCGCAGAATTTGAAGTTTTGTAGGACGAGATTTTGACTTTAAAGTGGGAAACACGTAGGATGAGAATAATCGCAAATTCTGCGTATCTTCGGCTTCATGTGCCTGCGAACAGAACTATTTCTCGGATTTGCGTTTTTACGTAAGTGAATTTTCCCGCTGATCTGACTGGACTGAAGAATTATTTGGACTTTTTATACTTGTATATTTTCATGGTATTAGGCAGAGTATTGCAATATGTCAAGAAATATGTACAGTAAGATATATTTTAATAAATAAGAGCACTTTGAAGTTTGATAGAATGACGAAAAAGTTGGGCGTTTGGAATCCATAGGCTCCTATTAGTGAGTGACTTAATTCTTGATTTCCAGCGTCAACAGTGGGGACCATGTTGGAAGGGAGGGGGTAGGGAAGGCGACGGGGATAGAGAAGGGAGAAGGAGAACGACAGAGAGCGAGAGAGCTAGAGAGAAAGAGAGAGAGAGAGAGAGAGAGAGAGAGGAGGAAGAGGGGGAGGGGAGGGGGAAGGGGATGAAAGTGGGAAGGGGGAAGGAAGGGAAAAGGAGGGGAAAGGGAGAGGTAGGGAAGGGTGTTTTGGAGGGGTGATGAAGGGAAGGGAAGGAAGGAGAGCGGAGAGGAAAAGGAAGGTGAAGGACGGGGTGAGGAGGGGTAGTTCAACGCTAAGGGATGGAGAAGGGGTGGGAGATAAAGAGGAGAGAACAGAAAAAAGGAGAGAAGAGAAGGAGAGGGAACAGGAACGGAAGAGGAGAGAAGAGGAGGGTGGGGAATGGGGGATGGAGAGGAGAGGGAGGGAAGAGGGTGGGAAAGGATTGGAAGGGGAGAAGGTGGGAAAGGACGGGAAGGGGAGGCGAAGGGTGGAAGGAGGACGGGAGGGGAAAGGAAGAGAGAGGAGTGTTTTAGCAGGGAAATGAAGGGAGGGAAGGGAGGGGAACGGGGAGGGGGGTGCGAACCGAGGATGCAAGCGGGTCGCGCATGGCCCACTCGTTAGCACCTTCCGATTGTTTTTCGATAAACCCGCCTCCAGTGCCCGGCCGCAACGGCGTAACTGCACCTGCCTGTCGGTCGATAGCCCTCGCCCGGGGTGGAGGCAGGGCACGAACCAGGGCGGCCGGCGTTGCCTTCCGTGCGAGTGAGGCCCGCGTGGAAATGCGACGTAGGCGCGCGGAGATCGTGAAGGAAGAAAAGAAATGTAGAAGCTTTTTTATTTTGAATGAATGCGCCAAGATGACAAAAATTACGCAAGATCTGGAAGATGTATTATAATTGGAAATATTGACAGATACGAATTTAGATTCGGGCAAGTAGACAAGTTGTAAGTAAGTAGACAAGATGTACGCAAGTAGGCAAGAATAAAGCAAGTAGACAAGAGGTAAGCAAGTATGCATGATGTACGCAAGTAGACAAGAAGTAAACAACTAGACAATGTGTATGCAAATAGACCAGATGTACGCAAGTAGACAAGAAGTAAATGAATTGAACTGAATTGAGTGTACTTGGGAAGTAGGCAAGTAGATTAGACGTGCGCAACTAGAGAAGATGTAAGCAAGTAGACAAGTAAGTAGACAAGTAAGCAAGTTGACGAGATGTATGCAGGTAGAGAAGATGTAAGCAGGGAGAAAAATGTAAACACGTAGACCAGAAGTAAGCAGGTCGACAAGATGTAAGCAAGTAGACCAGATGTAAGCAGGTAGATTAGATGTAACCAGGTAGACTAGATGTAACCAGGTAGACAAGGAGTAAACATGTAGACCAGAAGTAAGCAGGTATACAAGGTGTAAGGAAGCAGACCAAATGTTCGCAGGTAGATAAGAAATTAGTAAATAGACAAGAAATAAGCAGGTAGACAAGACGTAAGCAAGTAGACAAGACGTCAGCAATAGCCACTGTGCGTGGTGCCCGGGCGCGAGCGGACGGCAGGGAAAAGAGGTGTGTGGGGGCGGGGGGAGCCCCGCGCGGGGCGGCGTACTCACGGATGTGCCCGGCGGGCCCGCCTTCCCGTCCACGCCCGGCAGCCCGGGCGGCCCCGGGATGGCGTTGGGCAGCTCAATGTTGGTGAGGAGTGTGGTGAGGTTGCAGGAGCACACCCCCGGCGGCCCCGGCGGCCCCTGCAGCCCCCCGGCGCCCAGCTGCGGAACAGGCGCTAGCAGCGGAGCCCCTCTGCCTCTGGCCCTCCCGTCCTCGCTCCACC